TGTGTGTGTGTGTGTGTGTGTGTGTGTGTGTGTGTGTGTGTGTGTGTGTGTCTGTGTGTTTACATCTGAGATCAAATGTGCTACAGTGAAAAACCCCCTGTTGTGAAAAATTTCTTGCTGCAAACATGATGTCGTTGTAGAGGAGTTCACTGTACTGGAACTTCCATTGTTATGAATCGATCGTTAATGTAATATCGTAGTCGAAATTTTAATGCATAGGTTTTTATTCCGGGTGAGAGAATTTCCGTTTGAAAGAAGTTCGTAGATGGGAATACTTAATGTCCATGGTTATATTACTTCTTCCCAAAAGTAATTGCATTACTGCCTCATTCTTTATTGGCCTGTTCTGGCACACTCCTGGACCATAATTTATGAAAACTACCCATATACATTTGTGTGATGACACTAGTCATGTTATGATCATCATTTCTCACAATAATTACGAACCAGAATCAATCAATGTCGACATGCAAAGCTTTATTTCTGTCCATATCTTTCAGTGTTTACATTTTCCATAATCATGTCTCCAAAAACCAAGAAATTCATTTCGTAACACAGGTTTTGGTATTGAAAAGTAGAAGAGCATTCTTATGAATATCAGTAAAGTCATATGGTATCGGTATCCATAAATACAAAATACAGTCAAACCTCGAGTTCCGAATGAGCCTTTTGACATACTTTTCAAGCTATGCAAAATGTTTTTGTTGACATTATATTTCTACTTGCACACTGTAGTGCAGTGTTTTTCAACCGGTGTGCCGCGGCACACCAGTGTGCCGCGAGACATTGTCAGGTGTGCCGCAGGAAAATATCCAATTTTTATGCCTGTGCGGCCTTTCGCCCAGAAAATAATCATGTAGTACCCTCCCATACCGCTAGGGAGCAGCAACAGCTAGCCATTTGCCTTGTGTTACGACGAGAGACACGCGAATTTGTGACGCATTAATGCAGGACGATGGTGAAACAATAAATATGAAAGATGATAAAATACTGTGTTCTTTGTGTTCATTAGATTCC